TTTCATAATGTGGTGCGTCCTTGCTAGACTTCTTAAGGAAGCTGGCAAACAAGGCACTTCCCTCAATTGTTTGATGCTTTTCTTGGAGGCTGAATATTTTAATTTAAATGTCACTTTCCAGCGCAGTCCACGCTCCGCTGCTCTTGGAGCGAGCTCCTGCATCGGGCGCTCAAAAAACAAAGGGAATTCAGCCCTTCGCCACTGCTTAGGGCTCTGCTTTGGACCTCTGGTTCACTTATATTCAGAATATATAAGTAAAAGGCAGAGCAGCAGCTGGTTGAGCTTCCAATAGTCATAAAAATGCCCATAGACTTCACTGCAGGCAGGTACATGTCTGTTTAAGTTGCTCACCCAAACCCTTTTAAGGTTATAACAAGCCCATGTGTGGCACAGGAAAGCTGATAAACAGCAGAAACACGACAGAAAACTCGGAGCCTGGGAGTTTTATGGGCAGGGATCTCCTCTCCGTGCGTGAGTCTTCCACCCAACAGGAAGGAGCCCCCGTCATCTCAGCTTTGCTGTGATGTAAATCCCAGTAATTAGGTATAGTTAAGATGCCAAACTGGAAAACCCCCAAAGGTCATGGTATTAGGCTCAGTTTTGCTGTTCCAGGTCCCTGCCATTTCTTCTCTGGGGAAGGGCACATACGTCTGTTGCTTTGGAAGGGTAGGGAGAACCACTTCAAGGTTGACTAACCCTCAAAGACAGGGAGCTTGCTCTGAGCTGAGATGTAGAAGTCTCAAATCACCTCTCCTAGGGAAGATATTCAAGTTTCCTTGGAGAAACAGAAACACAGACTGAAAGGATCTGGGTAAAACAGCCCTTCCCTGGAGAGGATCAGACCCGCTCTTGGCAGCAGAGCCCCGCAATGAGGTGGAAAGCTATACCAGATTGGTGATGGGTCTTTCACTTTCTTTTGAGCAGATTCTGAAGATCTCAGGCCCTGGCTCAGTCACCTCCCTTTCTTTGCAAATCAAAGACTCCAGGTCCTAATGAAGAACTTCTTTGAACAGTACCTTGGAACAGTACCTTCTCGGTACCTTCAGGAGGAATTAGAGAAATCAGAAGACTTCCAAGACAACAGGTTTAAGTTGCAGCCCAGAAGATTTAGTAATTAGGAAGTGCTCTCTGCCAATACTAACATGAAGCACTGGTGTGACCTGCCACCAAGGAGCATATGAAATCTCAGTTGATGGAGATTTTTAGGAACAGGTTGGAAAGACATCTGCTAGGGATGATGAGCAGAGACAGGCAACATACTCTGCCCTGGAACAAGCAGATGAATCCCATGACCTCTGGATGTGCCTTTTAGACCTATTTGCAGTCTGTTTCCTAAAGGAAGTGAGGCACACATGCTCACACGATTGCCTATCCTGGTTTGTCAGCCCCAAGCAACTTCCAACACATCAGGCTAACTTCAACCAAAGTTGACAGAAGAGTTTTACACTCCTACTTGTTTAAGAACACCCGGCGGGTGAATAAGGACTGCACAATATCATCATTGATCTCAGCTTGGCCCCATACCCGCTCTGCGAGGCAAAGCACCCAGCTCCACAGCGGTGACGTGCAGAGGGGCACGGGGAACGTGTGGGACCAGTGCCCTTCAGGCACGAATCTAGGGATCAGACTTGGCCGCTCCACGCTTCGATGCTGCTGAACAATACGGCTGAAGCAAGAGACTGACTTTAAGAATCCATCCTGCCCTGCACAGCCAGCCTAAGCAGAAACAGCACTTCTCAGCAGTGCTGCACTACTTAGAAAACACATGTTTACAAAAATCCATTTTAAAGCATGATTTTCCAGCATGCAGGAAAAGAGTCATGCAAAGATGACACTTATATGGGTGTAATAGTAGTATCTGGCAATATTAAGCACAAGGTTATTAGGGTATTTCCCTATACCAACAAGATATAACAGACAACACAGACAGCTTGGGAGACAGGGAGGGTTTGGTGAGTGCTACTAACGGGGCCCCAAGATACTGCACAGAACATCAGCAAAAATCCTCTATTTTTCTTCACTACCAAAGCCTACTATCACACCAAGACATAGATCAAGAACATTTTCATTTCTGAAAGTACTTTATTTTCCCCTGCCTTCCTCAGGGGAAACCTCGGCATCCAAGAGCAATGAAACCTTCTGAGCATTTTAAGGTTTGTCTTCATCCTCAGCAGGTAACTGGCTGTGCAGAGCTTAATGTTACAGCATGAAATCAGCAGTAGGAACGGAGCAGTGTGTTTCTTGGCTTGAAAACACATCATCATAATAGAAATATGATAAAATTCAAGTGCTCTTCGATGCTTTTCTATAGCGCCTGTAAAATTTTAGCTGAATCACCCTGGGAGAGGCAGTAACTATCCTACATCCATACTTTGCTTTGCTGTGCTGATAACTCTACCTCATATGAACACTGAGCAATATCTCCCCTCCAAAGACTGCTCAGGGTTGTGCATAACCCTGCCAGATTTGAAATAACTGTGTTGAAACAGCCTATATTTTGGAAAAAATAAATGAAGATGAAATGGCCCAGCAGTTCTAAGAAACAGCCTAATGCTTTCAGGCAGCACATACTGTCAAATGTGGAGACTTCCAAATTGGACTGTTGGTCTATCTTCAGTCAAGCGGATTGTGGCAATTTGAATAGTTTTATGATCACTCATAAAATGTACATAAAAATAAGAGGCTGAAACCAAAGCACAGGTCACATTTGTACATGGATGTGCCAAGTTTCACCAACAACTGCACAACCCTGGGAACAGCTTTTAGAGGGACTCACAGGAATAAATTGTCAAAGCTTCCCCTCCCAGAGCTCCTAGAAAGACACTGCTACCTGTGCTTGCCCGTTTTCGATAGACCAAATTAAGGTGCAATATTTAACCTTTAGGCTGGCGTGCTAATACGCATGCAAAGGCAAAAGCAGATGTACCTGAGGGCAACACAGGGATAACAGAAGTACTTGGAGGTACTTCCAAAAGCCGTAGGCACAATTGAGCTGTGAGATGCCCAGGTACCTCAGTGTGGATTTTCCATGACACTGGAATAGCTGGCAGTGAAAATGCTGCCCATGCAGCAAAAAGATCCCCTTTGGCACACATTAGTTAATACCCATTTAGCAAGTGAGGAGTCGAAGCAGAACGGCGAAAGAATCTGGGATTTGCTGTGCCCATGATGCCAGTCTTTATTTTCACACAAGGCCCAAATACTGCCTCTTATTCCTTTTATCTAAATGCTGTTTCCCCGTCCATGCTTGATCACAAGCACTCCTAATTCACAGCAAACTCCACTTTTAAATGCAGGTTACTCTTGAGAAGACAGGGAATGCATGAAAAACCAAAGCTGAAAATCCCACAAGGAATCTAATAGTAAATAGGGCAGTGATGCAAACAAGTAAGACACCTCACACCATGCAGCGTTCCTGAGCTATTGTAGCAACAAGTTGATGTTACCAAGGAAACCAGAGATGATTCTGGCAGATGGAAGCAGCGAGACGTGCCGAGTCAACGTGGAGTCCTCTCAACTTCGTGGAGTTGCAGACCCAACTCCCAGCTGTTGATGCAACTCGGAAGGCGAAGGCAGTGCAGAGGTTGCACTACCCTTGGTGCCAAGTTCATGGACACCAGGATGAGCACCTGGACATCTCCTCCCTTCCACCCTGGGATAATTTGTTGCTCTTCCAAGAGAGTGTGGGGAAAGCTTCCCCACAGGGTACCTACACAAAAGACCATTTGGCCTTGTCTAATTTGCAGCAACGGGGTGGGTTTGTCACCCCATCAAATGACATTAAGAAAATAAGCTTAAGCTCTTGTGTTCTGCATATCCGAAGCACATTAAGGGCACGTACACACACCACGTTCTTCATGCTGGCTCCCTGGGTGGGCGGTAATTTGTGACAGTGCTGCAGCTTCATTGCATTGGTGAACCCGGGCTCTAACAAAATGACCCTGGGTTTTCTGAGAAATTTTCCTGTCTCTTTTAATGGGAATGATAAAAACGATCAGTCCTGCTCAGGAGCAGGTTCAGTTCAATGCACAGCTGAGCACCGAGAGCTGCCTCCCCACCTGCACACGGGCTCACAGCACCCTGTGTTCTCACCACATGGGCTTTGGTGATGCTGCAGCCATTTGAACAGCCAAACGTTTGGCTCTTGAAAAATGAACTGGACGGACATACAAGAACAACTATAGCAGCAAGGATAATCTGCCAGTGAGCGCTGAATTGCAAGCAAGCAGATATTTATAATGATAACTGATGTTCAGCAGCATCTATGATGGCAGACCTCTATGTTCAGATAATCCAGTGAGCTGCACATGAGAAATTTAGAAAAGTTAAGATTATTCCACATTAAACAAGTTAATAATAAGTAGGAATAACCTAGATGTTTTTCCTGAAGAAGTTAAACAAAAGTATGTATTTTCATACAATACACTTGTTATTTTTTGAATTTGTACAACCCCGACATTCCCATTCAAGTTATTTCCCACTGCAATGGGAAATGTAGGACTATAAAAATGGACAAAACCTGTGTGGGGTGCTGTTCTTCCCATTCTCCAAGGAGGACAGCCACTACTGCAACTTCCATGCCTGGATGCTACCAGCAGACCAGGGACTTTCACAGTCACCCAAGAATTTGGGTGGGTTTGCTGCCTTTCATGTCAGACAGAGTGGAAAAGGAGAGTGAAAGAGAGAGGAGGGAAAGAAATCCAGATTTTGTTGCCTCACAGAAAAGTGACCTGTGGCACTTCCATGCATATGGGGCCTTACATAAATCTCTTTACTCTGATTTGATTTTTGAGACTATTCACACAGCACTCCAGCCCCACATCTCACAAAGTGTATGGCAACCTGACCAGCCACACCTGAAGCCTTATCCTAGCCACGAGTCTGCAGCAAAGAGGAGAAACACCTCTCATGTGGTCTAGCTCTTCAGTTAAAGATACCAAAACTAGAACAAGAATAGTTGATAATTTTGATAATAAAGCTTCATTAGCTTCAGTACTTACAATTGCATGACCAGATACAAATGGTTCGGACTCTCATATATGTCTTCCAGTGCAACTATGTTTTCATGCTTGATCCTGAAAAAAGAACGAGCAAAGTAAGCAAAAGAATAAATGGTGGCTTTTTTTTTTTAAGTGGCTGCAAAACAGAAAGCTTTTTGTTGTGGTTAGAAACTAGTTCTAAGTGCTTTTCCTCATCAGGTATTAAATTATAAAATATGTTAATATGTTCCTGTCTGAAATAAATAATCATGAGTGCTTCATAGTTCAGAATACTATGATTACTAGCAAAAAGTTCATTCAAGCTGCTCTGAGGCCAAAATGTTTAATGATTACATAGTTAGGGCATTAGCAGCCTACGGTTCCTACGTCAGACGGATGAAGATGGTTGAGTTGCCAGGGCAGGAGCAAAACAGGGTCCGAGGGTGTGACGGATGTGGAGAGCAGCAGTGGAGAGAACATGATGCTTAAGAGGAAAATCACCTGTATAAATACACATCTTGTCCTGTTTGCCGCTTATACAGGTACAGACCATTTCTGAAGTATACATTTAACTTGTGCAAATCTTATAGGGATGACCAATGCAACTCTGAGGGGCAGAGGATGAATTACACCAATCAATCACAACCATTTCAGGAGCAAGATAGATACAGAAGACACTGAGACTGATGATTAAACAATGTTTAGACCCATTTGAGAAAAAAAGCACAGTGCATTTATTACCAATGACAAACTCACTAAATGTTTCAAGGTTCAAGATAATTAAAAAGTTTGATTGCATGCCAGAACCTCATACCTGGCAGTTGTAAGCACCCTAACCTCTCCGCAAAAACATGGAACGTGGAAGGTCCTCTGTGCCCAGCAGCATCTTTCCAACTGCCTCTGAATTCAATGAAAAGATAATGACTGACCCGAATTTAGGCCCATAATCAGTCATCAAAAACAGCATTCATATAAGGCCCTTAATGCCCAGAAAATTTTACATCAACAGTATGTGAGTCTAAACACAATGGACCGCAGGGCACACATCGGGGTAGGCTCTTAGCTCTCAGAAATATCTGGAAAATTCCACAAAATTTCAGTAAAATTTCCAGGTAGACTACATCACAAACCAAGTTGATAACATTATCAAGAGGAACCCAAAAGACCACTTGACTCCATACAGCCCTAGGTTTGGAAGTTGTAAATCTGTTGTGCACTTCCAGTGCCTGATTCCTTAAGGGTCATAGTTAGAGCGCGGACAGTTTTGTCTTGATTTACCTAATTGGAGTTACGTTAGTCTCCCAAATGCCATTTCAAGGAATAGCTCACTTCCTAATGGGAATTATTAGATATATTTCTCCACACCCCTTTATGTACCCCTGCATACACACTATCACTCATGCAGCTCATACCATCATGAGAAGACGATGGGTTTAATACAAATAATCTTTCTGCATCCACCGGACTAACATCTTGTTAAAGCCTCCAGGTTATCCACAGCGCTATTTTATCGTGTGCACATTAATGTTTTGCACTCGTATGTTTGAGAACCTCAGCGTTTCTCCAACGCAACCTGAAATAAATGAGCTTAAACAACCGAGGCGGGTGCTGCCCAGCAGAGGTCAGTGCAGCCAGCAGCAACCGCTGCCGCTCGCTGCCCTGCGAGTCCCCATCTTCACACGCATCCACGCTCGCCTTTCTGTGCTTTAAAACCTGCAAGAGAAATTGCCTGGGCAACTATTTCCCAACATGAAAATAATTAAACCTTCCTTACGGCTGAAGAAAACGCTGGTGAGAAAAACACCCCAAGGTTCGGGGTGTGAGGGACACCAGGGACGGCGTCGAGAAGTTCGGTGGGAGGTGGCGAAGTCGCGGTCCTTGATGGCCACGGATCAGCAGGGATTTGGGAGCAGCTTAGTTAGCTCGGCTTTTATCCTGCTTCTCTTCCCGCAATTCTCACTCTCCGGATTTTCCTCTTCCCAGCACTTCTGCTCACCGCTGCAACCTGCAGCAGTCCCAAGCCATTGCGCATCCCCTCTGCACCCCGTTGGCCACTGGGGAGCACCAAACAGCCCTGGCTGATGTCCGAGAAAAGAGACTTGCCGATGTTTTTGCACTGTGTGATGGTGCCACGTTACACTGTGCCATGGAGAGGGATGGCACAGCACCTAGTGACAGTGGTGGCAACATCTTAGACTGGAAGGACTCAGGTTCTCTGCATGGATTGTTACCAAAAAGGGGAAAAAAATGCCCAAGAATCAGGCTTGGTTAAAGCAAATTAGGTTACATAAATTGCTGCCAACAAGGAAACCTCCAGCTAAGGAAATGTGCTTTACAACCCTTTCAACCTGCCACTTGCCCTGGTGCCCCCTCTCCTCATTGACAACTCCCACACACTGCTCTGACTTCCCTGCACACCCCCGTGTCCACATAAATCCCCTCTGTGAAACGCCAACCCGTGCGGTGACTGCAAAGTTCTTCTTCAGGGCTATTCTGAGACCATTAGGTTGAAGGAAGCCATCTAGAAATAAAAATACAAGCAAAGAGAGACTCATACTTCAGCAAATTGACTCAGGCGTCTTCCCAAGCAAGATGCAGGAGCCAGGAGGCAAAGAAGAAGAGGACATGCCTGGAAGGAGGAATGTTTCAGGAGAAATAAAGCATGAAGAAGCACTGATCCTGCAGCAAGGCTCCGTGCAGAGGTAACTAGGCAAAACTGCCGGATTTCCCCTCTGGCCTTTCAGGTCTGTGATTCTGCTCATGTGCTTTCACAGAGGTGTCAGTAGAACAAGCACACGGAGGAAACGTTGCACTTGAGCAATATTTTAACATATATAAGTTAATGATCAAATCAACAGTCAAGACTTAGAAGGGCAAATTGAACCGGGCAACCAAAGGCTCTGGGTTAACTTTCCTGAGCGCGGCAGCTGTGCAAACACGGGAGAGGTTTTGATCTGCTCCGAAACGAGCTCCAGGGCACTGAGCACAAACCAGCTCTGCTGCTGGCTGGAGGGCCCGTCCACAACAGCATCATTAATGAATTGTCAGATCTCCCCGAACACTGAAGCACTCGGTGCTGCTGAAACATAGAAAAGCGGGCCTCCTTCCTCCAAAGAAGCTGAAACCTGCCCCGAAACAAGACCCGCTTGAACAGGAGTGGCCCTTGGCACTGCATGACTGCGTGTGCTGAGGAACGATGAGCAGAGATAAGTGCCCAGCACGGTGCTTTAATGATGCTAAAATTCACCTTGCCAGCGCCTGGCACGGAGCCACCATGGGATACTGACCCACCACCACACGGGCAGAAATCCTGCAGGATCAGAACTAACAGGAGAAATTCACCTCAACGCGAGCAACAAAACCAACGCACCGCACGGGCTCTGGCTGTTCAGAAGCAAGGATTAGAATATGGAAGTTGGAATACAAGATGGGAAGCTGAATCCATCAATGACTGTGTGTCCTGCACATCTCTGCCAGCTCCCGGCCATCCTGGAGGCCAAGCAGCTGAAACAAAACTGCTTGCACGTTGCTCCAGGTCATTAATTAGAGGGGCAGCGCTCACACAGATGAAAGCAGAGGACCTGACGGCTGCTGCTGCTTTGACTGCCGGGCTGCCAGGAAAGCACACTAAGAATCCTAGCTGCAAAGGCATAATATAAACTATGACTGAATCAGTTAGATTAACATCCATCACGTTTAACATACTTCTGCACTGAAAACTAGGGCTGTTTAGATGAACACTATCCAAAAAGTCTTGGGCAAACAAGAGAGCTGGTGAAGCAGGGCAGGTTCCTGACAGAACGGCTCTTTTCCAGCTGCAGTGGTGCATTTGCAAGGCATGGCATTTACAGCTGCATCTCCACGAGCAGCGTGCACCGCGGATAAAACACCGCAAGAAGCATACACGATCTTGTGAAAGCCAGAACTAACAAAACCTGTAAGGATTTTGTTACAAAATCAGAACGGATTTGTATCTTTTGCGCAACCAAATGTTCAGTCATTGACACATACACTCGTAATCCTCGGTTTGAAGAACTCAGCCATCAGCCAAGTGAAGCATTTAAATCACCCTTCCAAGTCGGATCCTTGAAAACCTCCCCGATGAGGATGATGGGAGGTGCTGTATTTCTAACTCTGCCCCTTCCCTTTTTTACCCTGTGGTGCCCAAATATTTTCCAGGGTGGGTATTTTGCACATGGATATTCCCCATATAACTTCACTGGTATCTGCATGTCACAGATCAGTGTGACATAACCCAGGTTTCCCTCCAGGCTTCCTCATCATAGACTTACTGGTGTGAAAAGGAGAAATGGAAGCTCCAACTCAAGCTTTTGGCATAGCTCAAGTTATTTCTCAGGCTCTCTAGCACGAATACTCTGCTACTTTAAAAAGAGGTGAATTCGTAGCACCCATTCCCCTCTCAAACAGGTCTATCTCGCTGCCTGCTTTTTGCAGGAACTAAGTCCCATGCAGATTTCCTGCTCCCTGGTGCATCTGGTTGATATCAACACCCAGACGCAGGTGTCCTGCAGAAAGAGCTCCTGCAATGAGCAGCCACATAAGCGTGGCTCCTACGGGGCGTAGGATAGAAAGCACCTGCCTGCATCATTCCCTGCAGAATTTAAAGGCCCCTGCAGACTGCTGTCTGGTGTTTTACATCCCAGAGCGAGTCCTTTCCTCTCCTTAATGATTTTACTCTGCCCAAGAGGAATGCATTTTTATATCATCACTATTTAGTCTGAAAATAGTCTGTTGGCTGATGGCACGGCACGTAATGACTTCAAGCAGCCCTGAGAGGTAGCCCCAAGCATTTCCAATGAAAATGCCAGGACTTGCCCAGACAGGGGCTGCTTGCAGCAAAGTTTCAGAAGGAAACAGAGGTGTTTGTTTGGTTTATACTTGGGGAAAGCAGCCTTGGATTAGCATCCTCTGCCCTTGGCAGATAAAAAACTATCAGATCAGTCCTCAACGGACCCTCTTTGCTGCAAACAGTCAGTCTGGGGCTCACAGCCCTTGGCAGATAAAAAAACTATCAGATCAGTCCTCAAACGGACCCTCTTTGCTGCAAACAGTCAGTTTCAGAGACAGCTTTAGAA